CAGCCCCGGCAAACCCCCGTACCTGCCAGTCCCCCATTTTGGCAAGTATGGACATCGCGTCTCGGCGCTCCTGGCGACGGGTCCCCGCCGGGCATGGGCTGTAGGGCTCGACTGGGCCCGCTCCCTGGAATCGCTTAGGCAAATCCTCCTTTTTTTACCTGCTCACCAACATCTCACCTGGTCATAAAGAGCTGGGTTGCTACCTGCCGACGCATGCGCGCTAGCCCAGGAATTCACTCCGCCAGCCCCAGTCCCTGCGCCTCGCGGAGCTGAACTGGGAAGTGATGGATTTATAGCCACGGCAATCTCGTCATCAACTCCAGCTTTTCCCAACAGCCCCAACCCGCTTTCCCGGTCAGTCTCTGACCTGGGAACCGAGGCAGACGGCCTGCCAGGGTGCACTAGGCGCGCTGCAAGTGTGAGAGGCTGTTTTCACACTCAAGCACTGGGGGCATCTACACAGTCTTCCCATGGCTCTCCTCCCCCTCGAAACTTTGTTGCCCGGAGTCTCCACCCGGAGATGGGTGGGAGGAGGAGTGCAAGGCCCGAAAATAGGGCCAGTCTGGATAGGTCCCGCGCACCTGGATGCCCGCGGTGGGGACAGATCCCCCTCCTGCCCTTCCCGCCGGCCCACGAGATTCAAGGCAGTCCCGGGCCTCGCGGATCCGAGTCTGCAACCCCCAGGGCTGCTTCAGCGTCGGATTCCAGATCAAAGTGTTTTTTCAGTAGGTGAAGAGGTTCACTTCTGGCTTCTCGGTTTGGTCTCCTTCCACCGCGGAGAGCCCGACACACGCACAGAATTGCACACTCTTCCACGCATACTTCTATTTAAGGTTCACCCTCTTTTCCTACTGTCACGATTCCCGCCCCTCCCCCACTCCTCTGTTGCTTCCCAGCTCTTTATCTTTTCCACTAAAAACTTTTTAACCGAAGAAGAACGGGGGCGTTGATGGTTCTGGGATGGGCAACTGAGGTTTGGGCTGGGGTTTGCTTTCCCATGACAGATAAAATCGCTCAAGTGATTTCACCGCTGCTTCTAATTAGAAGGGAGCTTTAAAAGAAGCCACAGGATTTGGGGCTCCCGGGAGCTCACCTCCCCGGCAGGAACCACACCTGGCTGGGAGGGAGGTGAGGGCGAGGAGCTTAGCCTCAGGCTGCGCTCGCTGCCCAACAGTGGCAGCTACCTGCCGACAGCCAAGAGATCCAGTTGTCCGGGGATGGGGCCTGGGCGGCCCAGTTACCCTCCCGGCTGCCATCGCAGGGACTGAGAGGTGGACAAAGAACCGGTGTCGAATCATCTTCTCGGACACGTCAGACAAATGTGTGTAAAATGTCAGCTCCGCTCTGAGAAGTGGAGGTTTGTCCCCACCCCAAGACCTTCTCTTTCCAACCCTGCGTTCCTGCCTACCCAGGTGGTCTTGCACCTTCTTGGCGATGCCAGGGGTGGTGTGGCGGTGTCTCTCCGAGGACTTGCCGAGTCGCCGAGGCATTTTAATCATCTCTGGGCTGAGAGACTTTCTTGCTGCTGCCGATTCTCTCCTTGATTTGAAACTATCTTGAACCTCCCTTAGGACATTGCTCGACAAGTTTGGCCTTTGTTTGTTTATATGTGTGTGTG